ATGGATGGATGGATGGATGGATGGATTGATGGATGGATGGATGGATGGATGGATGGATGGATGGATGGATAAAAAAGCTGCTAAGTTCTAAAACAAGTAAATCAAAATAAATCAAAAATTAAATTACCGGTAAATAAAAAAGCTGCTAAGTTGTAAAACAAGTTTAACAAAAAAGTTAGAACCCCCTGTACAGCATAATAAACAGCACCACATGAAAGTACTGCTCAATAGCTTTCATTCAAATGGTCACACACTAGGGTTTCATCCACAGACAGAACCACCTTGTATTATTTTCTACATCACATTATTTTTCTTACCACAGGGTCAGCTGGATGATAAATATTCACCAGACGTTTACAAACAGACTTTGGTAACACATGATCTTCTACATCATCCTGAGGTCTGAGCCCTCGTAATGCTAGGAACACCGCCAGCGGTGATCCCACGCAGAATAAGGTTTCCACCTAAAAGTAAAGCAAATACATAACTGACCCCTGAGGTTGATGAGAATTAGCATTGTACAGAGGTATATAATTTATGCTGTTTGGGTTAATCTAGGAACTGTAATGTGAACACAAAATGTTCATTTTATTGGTTATATCATGACCTATGCAAACACAATTTACATTCATTGGTAATTGATACCCTGGGGATTATGCAAATGAGAGTATAAGAGAATTTACACGTGTTCCACCCCATCACTCTACATGAGGCTGCAAACGCAAAGAGATTGGTGACCCACCCTCCCACCCAATGAGTAAGTCGGGCTTGATCTAACCTGTCTGCTTCTATTTTCGCCTGGTCTTTGGCTTGTCCCAGGCCAAGGCAATTCCCCATAACTTAAAATACTACGTCATGAATAAAAATACTCAAGTAGAATATTACATTATGGTAACTTCGCGTGGAATGACCTACAGAAGCCTATTAACAACTTACAGTACAAGAGCAACCTGTGATGGACTAGCATCCCAGCGAGGGATCGGAGGAGTAGCAGTAATCCTAGTTGATTCACACTTATATGGAGACCATGACTCATTAAGAAGCTCAGGCTGAGCGGAACACTTGGTCGACAAAATGACTTGTATCACTCTTGAGCTTTCAATTGCACTCAAGCTTCAGTTTGAACTGTATATATGTATAAATGAAGGACTGCAAAGCTGTCTCTTACCTTAAATGGCAGTGCAAAAGGACACTCCTTCGAGCTCTTGTCAGCTCCGTGTTTTTCATGTTCTACTTCACTTACAATCATAGCTTCCAGCTGCATGACCTCGCTCCGAGCCTTTGCCAGTTTCACTCTTAAGTTCTCCTTCAGGTTACCCCCTGGTCCAGACTCTGTTTGCTCATTACTTACCCTGCTGGTGACCGACCGCAAGTACTGGAAGCTCTCGGTAAGAAACCCAGTACTTTCTGTGGCATCTTGGGAAAGGTGTCTTAATTCAATGTCCCAGAGTGTTAAAATGTCATATGCAATCACACTTCCTAGAGAGTGGGCTACGATGGAAACTTTGCCATTTTTTTCCAGAAAGGAAGGATTTCTGGAGCAGAATTTGGTGTGCAAATTAATCATTTCATCCCTTACACCATCAATGATCTGCAACAGAAAATACAACATTTAGATGACTGTTTTTGTTACACTGCTGTTCTCAATAGATTATGAAACAATCTTTTCAAGATTGAGACACTAGGTTCAACTACCAGCTGATGTTTGGGACAGGAGCCCATACTCATCCTCTAAAGGAGCTCTTCTCAGGGAGGACCTTCAGGAACAGGACCTGAGAGAGAACAGTGGAAAACGAGCCTACACTGTCATACCAGGCTCCTATGAGTTACAGATGAATGTGACTTCTAAGAGTACAATATGTGAATAGGGTTCTACATGTACATGTGCACAGGGATTTTCACCTATACCTTGATCTTCACACCCATGAACAGGTGTCATGGGTCTCTGACCTTATTGACAGCCCTGGTACATGTACATGAATTTGTACCCCTTTGCATCCACTGAAAGAGTACAATAGTTCAAACAGGTTGTTTTTGAGTTTGAAATACTTTGGGATAAACATTTACCTCATATCTGTAAAATGGACTTGTGTAATACATGATGTCCATCATACTCGTGTTAAGAACTTTCCTGAGTCCTGACACTGATGAAGGTGTTATGCACTCAATAGTACCTTGAATAAAGAGAAAACAGCTGTTACTTATCACTTCAGGTAATATGGGAATTGCAAACTGCACAGTATATTCACTGATTCACTTAATCTGTCAAAAATTGAACCACCACAAAGAGAAATCTTCCCTTTAGGGGGGCTACATCACAATTTGCGCATCTTCAAAAGTTTAGCCTAAATTTTTCAAGTTTGTCATTTGTAATCCATGTGAATCTTCTCCATCTTTAACCATCCTGGTTCCTTTATCTCTTTGTTTTCAGTTTTTTTGGGAAACTCTAGACTCTAGTATTTAAACAAGATCAGATGGCTTAAAAACATTTCTCAGTGGCCCTTCCATTCATTGTAAATTAACACTACATTGTACTGTCACCTTTTCTCACAGTCTTGATTACTTGGAGATTGTTTACATCCTTGGGTGGGCAAGGAATGTAATTAGTGAGATAAATAGGCTTATATTGTGTTTCTGTTTTTCTTTTATGAATAGACTCTTGCCACCACCAATTTTAAAGAAAATATTGTATGAAATATTTGCCTTAATGTACTGAGCTCTCAGAAATGTTGAAAGATTACCACTGCAAGGATCACTACTCAAAAGGTTAAATTTAAGAACTTTAGAAGTAGCAATAACTGTGTAATTATTATTATAACTGTATAGAGCAGTTTTCAATTGCATGTCGAAAGTAATCAGATAATTACTTTCAACTGGTTTTGGTTTCACTACGGTCTGAGATTGACTGAGTAGTCTAATTGGTACATGTATGTAATTGGTTTGGTTTTGGTTCTACAACACTCAATTGAAAACCACTCTAGGGTAATCCAGATTGGCTAATACCTTCGTCCAGTTTAAGTGATGACCGCCATTCCACGGGAATGAACTCAACTCTCTGGTCACAAGGACCATCAGGAAACTGTTTGCTTAGCACTGTAGCTACACCCCGACGAAGGCTGGCAATAAAATGATAAAAATGATGACAAGTAAGCCATTGATCTACGATTCTTCAAATCATCCAACAAGGTACTGGTGTTGTTCCCCTTAGGAAGCATGCTGTGCTGAGTGTAGAGGCTTAACTGATGTTAGGAATATCACACAATGGAATATTTTTTGTTATGTTCTTGAGAAAAAACACTTTAAATTTCCCTATATGAAACACCTTCCCCCCCTAACAGCTGTATAAAAGTAATGGTTACAAGGGAAAAATTCCTAAATTTCTGGGGGGCCACCCACAATGAAAGCATCCCACTGTGGATGATGTCCAGACTGCATAGTTTTGAAAATATACAAAGTGGTTTAATTAGGGCCTGATTACCTGATAAATGAGGCTTAATGCTTACTTAATTAGTTGCTCTGCCTGTGTTTGCCGAGATGTCTTTCAGCCTTGTATTACATTCCCACCTGAACTATTCTCACCTAAACTATTTGAAGTATGGCCAAATAGGTTCTTGTAATTTGGGGAAGTTAGTGGCAATTTAGTCAAAGTAGGTTCTTGGTTAGGCTCTTAATGTCTATGAAGAAGATGTAGTTGTTGATAACCAGAACAATAACTAAACTTGGGTCTGATCTTACGGTATTGTATTATGTGCATGCATTTTCTTGCAATATAAATTTGCAATCTCAAAGTCACACTCCTTAGTTAAAGTGTTTATCATAATTTAACTGTTTACCTACATATAAGAACCTGAGTGATTTTACTTGGCTAAACAGGTTCTTATATTTTTGGGTATTGAAATCACACGGCAATTTTCTACCAGCAGGGTCTTAAACCACTAGTTCTTACACATGGTTTTTACTATATATTGGCTGAGCTAGTATGAGATGAACTAGACTTGGCAAAAAATCAGGTTACAATTTGGCCCAAAATTTTTTGGTGTATTTCAGGTAAACTTACTCTGCACTACTCTTGACAATATTGCTCGTGTGTAGAAGCTGTCCTATCCCATGAACAACAAAAACCAAGTGAGAAATATCTGGAGGTCTGTTGTCAGGGCTGGCAACCGTATGATAACCACGATGAAGCTGGGTAGCTGGGCCCACAACAAAGAAGGCAAAATTTTTATACAAAATTAGTACAATACTTGTAAGAAATTTTGGAGGTCTTTGTGGGAGAACATTGACCAAGGTTGTGAGTACAGACTGAATGCAGTGAGGTCTGTACACACAACCAAGGTCAAGATTCTCCCGTACAGACCAACTAAGCTCGGTTAATAAGATGTTTATTATATGGCAAACAAGAGAAATTTAATCTGTCTAATGAAACTGGTTTGTACTAGCTGACATTTTGCTCACGAATGGTGATGAGCTGAACTTAAATCTGCCAAAGTTTGCTCTTCCTCTTTACTTTTTTTTCTTATCAGGTTTTTTGGTACTACCACCAATATTGTTAGAGGAAAATAGTCAATATTTTTGTATTTTAGTTGCAGCTTTTTCACCACAAAATGTCACCTGTCTAGATGCCGGTCTAAATGGGAAAATCTAGACCCAGTCAATATCAATTTCAGCCAATCAAATTCGTGAATTTGGTAGTTCCAAGTCCTTGTGAGACAGCCATATAATAAAGTACAGTATAAAACTTAAGTTCCAAAGCTGTTAGTTTCCTTTAAGGAGTGAACTCTAGTTGAGACACTGCTAGAGATATATAATGGCTTGATAGAATTTTCCTTATTTTCTATCTGTAAAACCTTGAGGGTGCAGTAAAACTATCATTTTCACAGATGTTGTTCAATCTTAAAGTATAAATAACGTATTATTATCATTATCATTATCATTGTCACTGTCACTGTCACTGTCATTGTCATCGTCATCGTAATCGTCACCTTTAATGTCATTGTCATCGTAATTATTATTATTATTATTATTATTATTATTATTATTATTAAGGTGTTCTGTAGGCATAAGTGAGATAAAAAGTGTCCAAACATTACAGTGCAACCACTCTAACCAAGGCCATCCAACAAAATTTTCTACAAATTTTACAAATAAAACTTGCGGAGGTTAACGATAGTTTTCCAACAAATTATCCATGTAATCAAGCTGTACATTACAAAGGCAAGTAAGTAACTATTGATAAGTAACTATTTTAAAACTTTTAAAATGCCAGTAATCAGTTTGCAAAGAATTTGCTTAAGTGGCATTGCTCAGGGTAGTCACACTGTAAAGTCTGAAATACATGTAAATCGTCCAAAATTTTAATGTCCAAAATTTTTGCAAGTACATGTAATGTAACATCGATTTATATTTATAACTGAGTAAGAGTTTTTTGCAGTATGGTGTTGCAGAATTATACCTGAAGAGAGCCCAATCTTTTCCCCAAAATTCCTAATAATTCTTGATTTCACATCATCCCAGTATAGCCATACATCTGCTATGTCTTTCCACTCCACATAAAAACCTTTTAATTTGAGTTGGCCTAGTGCTATAAAAAAACAGACAGACAATAAAAAGATCAATCAATCAATTAATCAAGCATGAATGAACACAGTTGGATGACTACATATATAGATCAAAGACCTAACATAAGTATTTCAGTGATGAGCAAAAANTTCAAAAGTTTAGCCTAAATTTTTCAAGTTTGTCATTTGTAATCCATGTGAATCTTCTCCATCTTTAACCATCCTGGTTCCTTTATCTCTTTGTTTTCAGTTTTTTTGGGAAACTCTAGACTCTAGTATTTAAACAAGATCAGATGGCTTAAAAACATTTCTCAGTGGCCCTTCCATTCATTGTAAATTAACACTACATTGTACTGTCACCTTTTCTCACAGTCTTGATTACTTGGAGATTGTTTACATCCTTGGGTGGGCAAGGAATGTAATTAGTGAGATAAATAGGCTTATATTGTGTTTCTGTTTTTCTTTTATGAATAGACTCTTGCCACCACCAATTTTAAAGAAAATATTGTATGAAATATTTGCCTTAATGTACTGAGCTCTCAGAAATGTTGAAAGATTACCACTGCAAGGATCACTACTCAAAAGGTTAAATTTAAGAACTTTAGAAGTAGCAATAACTGTGTAATTATTATTATAACTGTATAGAGCAGTTTTCAATTGCATGTCGAAAGTAATCAGATAATTACTTTCAACTGGTTTTGGTTTCACTACGGTCTGAGATTGACTGAGTAGTCTAATTGGTACATGTATGTAATTGGTTTGGTTTTGGTTCTACAACACTCAATTGAAAACCACTCTAGGGTAATCCAGATTGGCTAATACCTTCGTCCAGTTTAAGTGATGACCGCCATTCCACGGGAATGAACTCAACTCTCTGGTCACAAGGACCATCAGGAAACTGTTTGCTTAGCACTGTAGCTACACCCCGACGAAGGCTGGCAATAAAATGATAAAAATGATGACAAGTAAGCCATTGATCTACGATTCTTCAAATCATCCAACAAGGTACTGGTGTTGTTCCCCTTAGGAAGCATGCTGTGCTGAGTGTAGAGGCTTAACTGATGTTAGGAATATCACACAATGGAATATTTTTTGTTATGTTCTTGAGAAAAAACACTTTAAATTTCCCTATATGAAACACCTTCCCCCCCTAACAGCTGTATAAAAGTAATGGTTACAAGGGAAAAATTCCTAAATTTCTGGGGGGCCACCCACAATGAAAGCATCCCACTGTGGATGATGTCCAGACTGCATAGTTTTGAAAATATACAAAGTGGTTTAATTAGGGCCTGATTACCTGATAAATGAGGCTTAATGCTTACTTAATTAGTTGCTCTGCCTGTGTTTGCCGAGATGTCTTTCAGCCTTGTATTACATTCCCACCTGAACTATTCTCACCTAAACTATTTGAAGTATGGCCAAATAGGTTCTTGTAATTTGGGGAAGTTAGTGGCAATTTAGTCAAAGTAGGTTCTTGGTTAGGCTCTTAATGTCTATGAAGAAGATGTAGTTGTTGATAACCAGAACAATAACTAAACTTGGGTCTGATCTTACGGTATTGTATTATGTGCATGCATTTTCTTGCAATATAAATTTGCAATCTCAAAGTCACACTCCTTAGTTAAAGTGTTTATCATAATTTAACTGTTTACCTACATATAAGAACCTGAGTGATTTTACTTGGCTAAACAGGTTCTTATATTTTTGGGTATTGAAATCACACGGCAATTTTCTACCAGCAGGGTCTTAAACCACTAGTTCTTACACATGGTTTTTACTATATATTGGCTGAGCTAGTATGAGATGAACTAGACTTGGCAAAAAATCAGGTTACAATTTGGCCCAAAATTTTTTGGTGTATTTCAGGTAAACTTACTCTGCACTACTCTTGACAATATTGCTCGTGTGTAGAAGCTGTCCTATCCCATGAACAACAAAAACCAAGTGAGAAATATCTGGAGGTCTGTCGTCAGGGCTGGCAACCGTATGATAACCACGATGAAGCTGGGTAGCTGGGCCCACAACAAAGAAGGCAAAATTTTTATACAAAATTAGTACAATACTTGTAAGAAATTTTGGAGGTCTTTGTGGGAGAACATTGACCAAGGTTGTGAGTACAGACTGAATGCAGTGAGGTCTGTACACACAACCAAGGTCAAGATTCTCCCGTACAGACCAACTAAGCTCGGTTAATAAGATGTTTATTATATGGCAAACAAGAGAAATTTAATCTGTCTAATGAAACTGGTTTGTACTAGCTGACATTTTGCTCACGAATGGTGATGAGCTGAACTTAAATCTGCCAAAGTTTGCTCTTCCTCTTTACTTTTTTTTCTTATCAGGTTTTTTGGTACTACCACCAATATTGTTAGAGGAAAATAGTCAATATTTTTGTATTTTAGTTGCAGCTTTTTCACCACAAAATGTCACCTGTCTAGATGCCGGTCTAAATGGGAAAATCTAGACCCAGTCAATATCAATTTCAGCCAATCAAATTCGTGAATTTGGTAGTTCCAAGTCCTTGTGAGACAGCCATATAATAAAGTACAGTATAAAACTTAAGTTCCAAAGCTGTTAGTTTCCTTTAAGGAGTGAACTCTAGTTGAGACACTGCTAGAGATATATAATGGCTTGATAGAATTTTCCTTATTTTCTATCTGTAAAACCTTGAGGGTGCAGTAAAACTATCATTTTCACAGATGTTGTTCAATCTTAAAGTATAAATAACGTATTATTATCATTATCATTATCATTGTCACTGTCACTGTCACTGTCATTGTCATCGTCATCGTAATCGTCACCTTTAATGTCATTGTCATCGTAATTATTATTATTATTATTATTATTATTATTAAGGTGTTCTGTAGGCATAAGTGAGATAAAAAGTGTCCAAACATTACAGTGCAACCACTCTAACCAAGGCCATCCAACAAAATTTTCTACAAATTTTACAAATAAAACTTGCGGAGGTTAACGATAGTTTTCCAACAAATTATCCATGTAATCAAGCTGTACATTACAAAGGCAAGTAAGTAACTATTGATAAGTAACTATTTTAAAACTTTTAAAATGCCAGTAATCAGTTTGCAAAGAATTTGCTTAAGTGGCATTGCTCAGGGTAGTCACACTGTAAAGTCTGAAATACATGTAAATCGTCCAAAATTTTAATGTCCAAAATTTTTGCAAGTACATGTAATGTAACATCGATTTATATTTATAACTGAGTAAGAGTTTTTTGCAGTATGGTGTTGCAGAATTATACCTGAAGAGAGCCCAATCTTTTCCCCAAAATTCCTAATAATTCTTGATTTCACATCATCCCAGTATAGCCATACATCTGCTATGTCTTTCCACTCCACATAAAAACCTTTTAATTTGAGTTGGCCTAGTGCTATAAAAAAACAGACAGACAATAAAAAGATCAATCAATCAATTAATCAAGCATGAATGAACACAGTTGGATGACTACATATATAGATCAAAGACCTAACATAAGTATTTCAGTGATGAGCAAAAAATCTTACCTTGTTGGTGAGAAAGACCCATATCATTTTGAACTGGTCCAACAGTTAAACCCTTTCAAAAAGGTGAAAGATTAATTCATTAAACCTTACTTATACCCCATTCACAACAACATCTTGCACATGTTTAAAACTGATTGAACTAAACAAGGTTAAAAATTAGTCGCTCATACCAAACACACCCCACAACTTTACAAGTTAAAAATCTGTTTGATTAAAATATGTTATCAAGGTAGTTTGAAATTTTTCTTCTCAAAGTGACTTCAAAGCGTACAGTAATTGACAAATTGGAAATACCTAAATCTGATTTAGTTAACTAGCTTAGTTGGTGTGAATGGGATATAAGTTAAGTTTTGTTATACACAGTCACTAACTGACTTATTGCATTCAGACAGTTTGGAAACAACCAGAAGCAACTCCTTTCAGATGAAATGTTAACTAGTCCATCGTATTATATACAGTACTTGGCCCCTGGAGCATGTTAGTGAAGTTTTTCTTTTCTTCTCCTTGAAGTGGTTCAAAAGTTTATCGAAAGAATGCTCAGGGACACCTTTTTCTTTTCTCAACATTTTGTAAAGTTGGTCACATAATTTATTGATTCCTATACAATGTATGTTCAACATGTGAATGTGGGGTGGCCTCATGGTTAGTGATCTTGCAAACGGATTGAGTGTTCCAGGTTTGAGTTCTAGCCAGGGACATTGTGTTGTGTTCTTTTGGCAAGACAGTTTACTCTCACAGTGCCTCTCTCCACTCAGGTGTATAAATGGGTAACAACAAATTAATTTATAATGCTGTGGATAACCCTGCGATGGACTAGTATCCCATCTGGGAGGAGTAGAAAATAATATACTCCTAGCAACTTCATGCTGCAGAAACTGGAGATAAGCGCCAGCCTGATGGGCCACTTGGCTCATATCCAGGCTGTACCTTACCATGATTACCAGTATAAAGCTGACTGACTCACCATAGAGTTCCACATGGTCTGATGTGATAACTCTATTTCATCACTGTCCTCCTCACTGAGAGGCTGCCACATGTCCAGTGAAGTTGATCCAGTGAACCATGTTCCTCTACAAACTGGCATACTTTTATCTAGTACAATGACAACAAATAGAATTATTGGTACACGGTACATTATGAACTTAAAGAAGTTCCTTTTCTATCCTATGAAGTTCAACTTAATGTTGTGTAGCACCAACACTTTTGATATGTAATTATATGCTATTTTGGAGACTTAGTGAGCCAGAAACTTTCTTAGCCTTGCAGAGGAAATTTTTTTTTTTTAAGAAAAGCGTCACAAAATAATCAAGAAGTAGCTGGGACCTGTGACACTTAACTTGCGCTGCAATTCTTGCATATTTTAAAGGACCTTTTTACCGCCCGTTTAAAGAGTAGCGGCCTGTTTCTCAAAAGCCCCGGGACCTTTTCCGGCCCATAAAGCCATTTAATTTTTAGTTCATCTGTATCTAAAAACAGGGAAGTGTATACACCTGACTTCTTGTATGTAGGGAACCTTTGTTCATATTAAGAACACGTGAATATAACAGCTCTGCAATCAAGGTTTGAGATTTTGCTATGGCTTTCCAGGTGCAAAAACTTTTCGGGACCTTCCAGAAATGGGCCCCAGGTCACAATTAAAATCACATATTCTAGAATGCAGAATTGAGGAAGTGTGCAAATAGTTGAAATTCTTATTTTACCTTCTTATCAAAAAAATTGCTAAATAACAGGGATCATGTGTGCTAAAGGCGTCTGCGATTGAGTGTTGATCAATACCCTCCATTGCTACTCCATTGATGCTCGATTGACATCTCAGTCGACTGTCGACCAGTTGTTGACTAATACCGGTATTTGATTGATACATACAAGTTTTTCGACACTTGGCCGACTATCAACCAACTATTGATCAAGTGTTGACAGTGCATTGATCAGGACATTGATCGAGTATGAATTGAAATGTCAATCAGGGGTATTGATTGACACTCAACCACAGATGCCTTTTAATAGTACACATGATCCAATAATAGTACAGTACAGATCTGGCAGAAACAATCAATCAGTTCAACATGAGTTATTTGTTGTCTAATCCAAGAGAATCAAAAGTTGATTCCTAGTTTTCATGAGACCAGTGAGTGGCTAAATATAAAGAGCTTAAGATGATATAGTGCTAGTTCATAGGTTGCTACTTCCGGTCAGCTAAATATAAAGACTTCCCGGTACCCTTATATTACACCAACCTTCCCAGTAAATGGGTGTGCATTGCCTAGCAACAACATCCACTTCGTACAGGCCTCCTTTAACAGTGGGCATTTCATAAATCGAGGACGTGTTATAGAGCTTAGAGCTGTCTTCATCCCGGTTTTCAAGCGCCAATATTTGGAGATAGCAATGCTCAATAGCCAACGAATCGCTGCCATTGAAAGGCACCCACTTTTTGTCTTCTTTTACAAACCAGCGTACTCGATCAGGTTTAAGCGCTTGCAGAGCATCTAAGTGGTGTTGAAGACTCTGAGGACGTGGCAATTTTGGATAGTTCGATGGAGGTGGAGGTCGCGTAGGTTTACCCGACATGTCTTTTCTCTTGGGAGAGGAAGATTCACCGCCGCCATTTTCACTCATACTTTCATTCAGATAGTTACTGTCCCAATAAATTGAACGCAAAGGTAGTGATCTCTCTGATTCACAGATGAAAAGCTACCATCAACCAGATAAGAAGATCCTCATTCTAAAATTTAGAAAATACAATAATTCAACCAGAAAAAGTTTTCGTCATACGCCATTTTTAACCAGGCTTCGGCCTAGTCTCTTTGCAAAAAGACAGACCGTGTGAACCTGGAACGTACAAGCTTAGGATCCACGCCTTGGCAACCGTCGTGAGACAGAAAACGCCCGCGAGCTCGAACGAATCGCGAAGTGATTATTTTCAAGTGAAATTTATATGAAATGAAAACAAAACAAAACAAAATACAAACAAGCAAACAAACAAACAAACAAACCGAAAACAACAACAAAAAAAGACATTGTGGGTGAATGTTTAAAAATGTTAAAATATTCCGCACGAGAAAAGCCATTTCAAATCAACTGTCAGGATCATGTCAAAGGAGGCGCCAGCGAATCGAAATAAAGCCAAAATCGTAAACTGGTTTATTTGAACCTCGTGGTCGGAAAACCTTCCTCATCTCCAAGCTTTGTGTTACTTTTAACGACGGGATACTAGTATTTTACAGAACTTCCCTGGTTTAATTTAATCCAAGTTTCAAAATCATGAACCAAAAACACTCCTTGGTTGCGAATGTAGTTCTTCAGCCGCGGCGGCATTGAAAGAAAGCATGCATCTGAATCGAAAGCACTGTAAGCTTATATCCTGCAACGTCGCCGAGTAAAGGAAGAATAGTGGAAAAACACAGAAGAAGACGCGCATCGAGGCAGTAAGTCCTTGAATTAATGCTATTTAAAAATTCGCCACTTTTTTAAATATTGGTTCGATGTTTAATTTAGGACGTCACAAACAATTGTTGATGCAAGACCGGGTTTCAGATCTCGCCCCTTGTGCCAAGTCTGTTTCGCAAAGCTTGGAGCGGTTGGCAGTTGGCTTTTACAGACGTCAAACACTCGAGCTATTAGCTTAACGGTCGAGTTTTTGACACTATTAATTAAAGAAGTTAAGAATTTTTTTTTTTGATGCAGTTGAAGTATTTCGCTTCAAACAAATTTGAATGACTGCCTTTTTTTTTTTAGCAAATTTGCAGCACGTAGTACGCTTATAAATTGTCGATTGTTTACATTCTCGGTTGGTCACAGTTTTTAGTGCCAGACAGCTGTATCCTCGACAGCATTACCACAGGAAAATGGAAAATTGTTCTTTTACAGGGAAAAGCAGGAGTATTTCTTTCTTTAAGGGAAGTGGTCAAATCAAACACCCAAACTAGAACTGATTAAAGAAACGACCGCAAATTAGGCCCCGTTCTCACAACACCGAAGAAATTTGGAAACTGAACTTTATTTCTACGGTTAGGCCTTTCGTCCACACTAATCCGTCACGAAAACGGAGCTTTTCGAAACCGCTCTTCAAGCAGGAAGAATTTGAAAACGCCGGGTTTGTGTTTTAGTTTGGACAGAAAACATCGTGAAAACGAAGCTTTCGAAAACGATGACGTCACGATTGTGACGTGATTTCCCTGACCGAGTTTTACTCAAACACAAATCCAAAATGACCAGTATTTTTCTTTCTTTTTTTTTTTTTTGCGGTTTTAAATTCCTCGGCGTAGTGTGGACGGAAAACATTTGATGCGTTTTCAGAGTGAAACCGCCGTTTTCAAAGAATTCCTCCAGCGCAGTGTGGGAAGGGCCTTAAACCCTGCGAAACTCACTTCAGGATTTACTCCAGTGTAATTCATACGGTGTGTAGTCCGAAGGACACTTAAAGTTTATTGTTGTTATACATTTGAAAACGCTTCGGCCTAATGCGGGCAAGGACTTCTTATAACGGTAAGCTCTTGCATTGTGTTTTCATGTACAACTAATCCGGCTATTCCAAGTATTAATCGTATTAACCAGATGGCAACACAGGACACCGTTTTACTTGATTCTCACGAACCCCTCAATAAGATTAAATGAAAGCTGGATTAAGGCAGTCTAGCTCAAACTATTTTAAGCGACAGAGCTAAGAGGTACCTAAAAACTGAAAGGAATCGCAAGGCGCTGAGAGGGGGCGGGGGGNTAGAAAGGGGGGAAGTAGAGAGGGGGAAGTAGAGAGGGAGCTCGGGAGAAAGTGCTCGTCATATTTTTAACTGGTTAAAGTCATGGTTTGCTGTCCATGGTACTTGTGGTTTCTGAATTCTAAAATCTAAAATGACCACTGTTAGAGCAACTGAATAAATATAGGATATTAGTCTCGATAAACAAATTACGACAGGAACAGCTTAGTTGGTGGAATGCGGAAAGTACTTGAAGCAATAATACTTGTTTACCGCTGTTGAAATTGTGATAGCATTGGAACTGGTTTACCAGTTTGAGGTGTAACTGAGTATGAGTCACTCCCGCGCACTGAATCAAGACGGTGCTTTGAAAGCATTCCCTCCTACTTCTTGCAAAGTTTAAATTTTAAATTTCGAACAATCGGCCCTGAAAGTCGAGAACCCCTTCGCCGACCCCCGGCCTCAGAAAATATCTAATTTTTATCGTGCGGTTATCAAGGTTAACATCGATCAATTTGTTTTTGAAAGAGTCGGTTGGCGTAAGGATCAGGAATCAACTTTGTTAGTTAAGTAACTGCGTCTTGATAATTATCTGTCAATTATCATTACAAATAGTTAGAGGTTGTGTCAGCTCATGGTTAAAAAATATTAAATATCCACGATTGACAAGGAAGGACCATAAAAAATGAGTGACCTCCGATCCGAAAGATAAGTGCGAGTGGATTAATGTAACGGTGATTCAGGAATGCACTAACACGAATGCTTCTCTGGTGGCAAAACCTGCTTAAATAAAATCGAAACTACTGCGAAAAGAGTCATCAGTAAGTATAATACGTTCGACGGACAAACAGGCTTGAACAAGATTCTAACAGACTTAAACGGGATTTCATGAGTGAGAACCGACGACTGACTGAAAGATACGATCTCTATGAACCTGAAGATATACTACAATAACAAAAAAACACTGATTAAATTTATATTTTGTTTTAGTGATTGTCCTTGTGGGCAATGGGCTATAATTTAACGCAGTTAATGTGATTTTTGTCTATATGGTGTGTAAATAGTTTGGTTTGTTTTGGCCTGGGATGTCCCAGGGTATACATGAAAGAATTAAAATGACTGAGTTGGAATCAGACGAGGAACAGTCCATAAGATAAGACATGGCTCATGTCAGAAACCGCATCTTCACGGAACAAAGGTAGCCTTCAGTATAGCATCAGTAGGTTTGTCTCGCCTGTTAATCTGCTGAATTTGTTATGCAAACGTCTTGAAGCTTGCTCACGTGTTGAATACAGCCCTTAACTATTGTGCCGTAACTTGTATTATTCAGGATGTTATAGACTGACAAACTCAGAGTGATACGTTGGATGTTGTGCTCGGATACGATTGAGAAGATACGACTGTTATTGCCCTCATCTTACAACTGAAAGCAGGAATCTGTCAGGTTAGAGACATAGATAGACTTCCTATATACATAGTTATAGGCCTAATACTTATGATATTATTTACTTGTTTTAAGTATAGTCGAGCCAGTTAAGATTCCACAGCAAAGGAATGCTTTGAATATCATTTTTCAAACAGCGAAAAGAAATTTACAGCGCCCAATTTCCATTGCGCTCTACATACGTATCTGATTCTTCTGCATGGCTGTAATAAAAGTTTTTGCTTGACTTATCAAGGCCCCGTCCGCACTACGCCAACGAAATTTGAAAATGCGACTTTATTTCTACGGTTTGGCCAACCGTGCACTCTAATCCGTCACGAAAACGGAGCTTTTCGAAAACCGCTTTTCAAACAGGAGGAATTTAAAAACTCCGGCTTCGCTTTTCAGTATGGATGAAAAACATGTTCAAGTTAAAAGAGAGACGGTGGCGTCACGATAATCATGTGTTTCCCAACCCGAGTTTTCTTCAACCACAAATCCGAAATGACTGTGCTGGTGATTGTTGCGTTTTCAAATTTCTCCGGCGTAGTGTGGACGGAAAACATTTGACGCGTTTTCAGAGTGAAACCTCCGTTTTTAAATTTCTCCCGCGTAGTTTTGACGGGGATTAAAAGACCTCAGGCCTATAGTTTGTCAAACTCATAACCCGTCTAAATGTGGAAATGAGGCAAATGAAACGTCAGGCATACTAACAATTTTTGCGTCTGAACTGAGGCAAGAAAACAGATGGATTATTGGTCTCAAACAAATTATTCATTAAGAACTTAAACTGCTTGACACATAAACTTTGTTCATGTTCGTTGTTTTTTTAATCAATACTGTTTGATTTTCAATGCCTTGTTAAAACTTCCGGCGTTCAGTCTTGAATTGATCTATGCTCTGTATCTAAAGTATTTTTCGTCTATCTAGAAAACTTGCAAATCGAATTCATTCTTCCATGTACATAATATACAAAGTCCGCATGGGTCCAAATCACAACAATTGTCAAAGATATATCTACATACATTTATTAAACATCGAAATGCTGTCCATTGGCTCTGAAATGAATGTACCCTAGCTAGACCAGACACTTTTTATCGCCTAACTATGCTGTTCCAACAATTTCGATGTTATTCAGTTTCAGAGTAGGGAGAGATCTAATTACAGTTGAATGACATCATGTTGGTCTATGTTCGGTTCTGTTTTTTTGTTCTTTTTTTTTTTTCAATTTTTTTTTTAAATACTACTGCAATTTAAACTGCGGACGAAAATCTTGGCGATAAAGATGACGAGAAACGGAACAGTTGTCGTTTTAAACGAGTTACACTGACTAAATGAGATCAAACGAACAAATTTTTGGTCTCAGAGAGAACGAGATTGACTTTAACTACAAGGCGGATGGGCCGGTTAGAGAAGAGATTCTTCAGCTTTATTGTCCGTATAGTATTTCCTGAGTACGTGGCCGAAGTACAAGCAAAGAGAACGGGTAGAAATGGCTTCTCTGTCGAACAAAAGAAAGACAGTTAACTCTCAAGAAAATTTGAGCAGTTTTAGATTTAGTCCGAGTGCTTGAATGCAGACGAAGGTACTCGAGTCGATGCTAACGATTTGTTTTATTCCGTTGGGCTGTATGTCAGTGAGTAAGGCAATGCGTTTCTCTGTCTTTTCATTTCTTGTTGTTTTTTATC